GAACCCTTGGTTCTTAATACTGTGTGTGGTTACCTGGATGATCTACGATTGTTTTTTTTGTGATGGTTGTTCATGAGTCCCTTGTTTGTTCTGAACAGTTAAACTGAGCACTGTTCCTCCAGGTCCTGCAGATTCTTCAGTTTTCCAGCATCTTTTGTATATTTGAACCCTTCCAGCAGTGACTATATGATTTTGAGATCCATCTTTTCACACTGAGGACAACTGAGGGACTCAAACACAACTATTAAAAAAGTTTCAAACATTCACTGATGCTCCAGAAGGAAACACGATGCATTAAGAGCCGGGGGTGAAAACTTTTGAACAGGATGAAGATGTCCAAATTTTTCTTATTTTATTGAAATATCATTTTTTCCCATTAAGTACTGCCTTTCGGAAGCAACAGAAGATACTTGCATGTTTCCCGGAAAACAAATTAAGTACAATTTACCTTGATCTTCAAATTCCAAAAAGTTTTCACCCCCGGCTTTTAATGCATCGTGTTTCCTTCTGGAGCATCAGTGAATGTTTGAACCTTTTTTAATAGTTGTGTTTGAGTCCCTCAATTGTCCTCAGTGTGAAAAGATGGATCTCAACATCATACAGTCACTGTCTTGTGGACTATATTTATACATCTTTTATGTAAAATATCTTCCTCAGGACAGTACTAAATAAAAAAAAATAACATGCATTTTGTATGAACCCTCTTATTTTGTTAAAATTATTAATATTTTCACAGATTCTGCAAGGGGTTCCCAAACTTTCACATGCCACTGTATATATAAGTTTAGCATGTGCAGGATGATGATGCATCATCCAATTTGTTATTATAGGAAAAAAACAGAAAAAGTTGCTAATTTAGCTGTTATAGCACAAAATGTCTAGTATTAAAAGAGGGGAAATATGTCAATATTGCAACACTGTGAATGCAAATTTAATGATTTCACTCAGTTAGCCTACGGGTTTTAATGAAAGCAAAGATATCTGAAATGTACATCTAATTTATGAAATTATTAAATAATAACCCCATTAATTACAATAAGTAATCATATTAAGCAATTTAAAATATATATTTTTTTGTATTATTTAAAATATTTAAAATAATACATTTACAAATAATAATATACTAGCCATTTGGGGCCTGGTGTCTAATTTGAGCTTTTATTTCAAAATAAAAACTATAACTTCTACTCCGCTTACATATTTAAAAAAAATTAAAATATTGATGTGTCCACAGATCCCTCATTAACAAATAGGCACAAAAACATATTTTGCCATAATATATATACATACACCTCAGATGTCTCTGGGGGAAAAAGTGATCTATGAAAGTATATTAATATGATATATTAAAGTATATATGTTTTTGTGCCTATTTGTTAATTAGGGATCTGTGGACACATCAATGTTTTACATAAAAAAATCTCTCTCTCTCTTTCTCTCT